ATATACAGGCATCTGTGAAATAAGTACCACATTTTTATAAGCTCTCCAAAAAGCCAACCCACCCACAAAGTATGCTGTTGGGTTGATCATCAATGGGAGAACTCAAATAAAAAATAGTAAGAAGGAGAAATGAATCTCTTGAAATTTTTTTTTTTAAAAAATAACAAAACATTGTTTGGAAAGAATGATCTCAGAACAAAGTCGTATAAGACAGCAATGGAAGGAGAGATGGGGTCATAATAAAAGTTCTGGATAAAATGCTATCCAGTTTTTAAAACAATTTTTATCACTTCCAGGTGGAATTTTCTTGATAAAGAAATTAGAATTGGTAAATTCTAATTTATGCACTATTTGTTTATCAAATTCTTATGACACCTACCTCACCAAAAGTGTGTCATTAGTGTAGGGTAGTCTTTATTGTTATTGTACATCATATATACAACAAAATTGGTTTAGCCTCTCTGGGGCAATCCATAACAAAAAAAAATACAAAACAACATAAATAGTATAGAGAATAATCCCTATACAAGTAATTGGGGAAAAAAGACTAGTCATACGTTTCTGTATGTGCGTGCAGTGATTGTGATTGTGTTTAAAAGTCTGACAGCCTATGGGTAGAAGCTGTTTTTAAACCTGTTTGTCCGGCTGGCTATGCTTTGATGTCTTCTGCCCGATGGTAGAAGCAAAAAGAGACACTGGCCAAGGTGCAATGGTGGATTTCTTCCGGTTCAGGTGAGCAAAGTGCATGCAAAGCACGTGTGCGAAGCGAACCGGTTGTAACACCGGTTGAAACCCACCACTGCCAGGGTGTGAATCATTCCTAAGTATCTTCCTTACTCTGCTGAAACAGCGAGACTTGGTGATATCATCTAGTGGTGTTAGATGGCAACCGATGGTTTCTTATGCCAAATTGATCACTCTCTGTAGTGCCTTCCTGTCTGCAGCTGTTAGACCAGCATACCATACTGTTATACAGTATCTGAGGACACTTTCTATCGTAGACCAATAGAGAGAAGTCATTAGCCATTGTTCCACCTGATTTTTCTGCAGGATTCTAAGGTAATGGTCTCTGTTGAGCCTTACTAACCACCAGGGATGTGTTGTTTTTCCAGGTGAGATCTTGACTAATGAGCATTCCAGTGGTGAAATGTAAAATTTGTTACTACCGGTTCTGTGGGCGTGGCTTGGGGGGAGAATATGACTGAGTGGGCGTGGTCAACTTTTTTTTTTTAAACTTTTAAAACCATTTTTTCTACAACCTCTTCGGCTGAAGAGGTTGTAAAAAAAATGCTTTTAAAGCCTCTGATGATCCCAGCTGACTTGCCTGATCGGCAGAGGCTTTCTTTTTTTTTAAAGTCTCTGACGATCCCAGCTGACTTGCCTGATCGGCAGAGGCTTTTTTTCCTTTTAAAAACATTTTTTCTATAACCTCTTCAGCCAAAGAGGTTGTAGAAAAAATGCTTTTAAAAGCCTCTGATGATCCCAGCTGAGCCGCGCGATCATCAGAGACTTTTTTTTTTTACTTTTAAAAGCATTTTTTTGGCCAAAGAGGTTGTAGAAAAAATGCTTTTAATTTTTTTTTTAAAAAAAGCCTCTGATGATTGCACGGCTCAGCTGGGCAATGAGAGGGGGCAGGGATTTTTGCTACCAGTTCTCTGAACCACCCGCCTCCATCGCTACCAGATCGGGCGATCCGGTCCGAACCGGGAGCATTTCACCCCTGAAGCACTCCCAAGAATTTAAAAGAGGAAACCCTCTCCACACAGCCCCCCTAGATATAGAGTGGGGCAGGTTCCTCTCTGTGCTTCTGGAAATCTAGCACCATTTCCTTTGGTTTGCTAGTATTTAATTTAAGTTGTTTTTTGAACACCATATGGATACCTTCTAGATTTCTTCCTTATATGCTGATTCGCCCCCTCCAGTTATAATCCCCAACACCATTGTGTCATCTGCAAACTTTATTATGGTGTTAAATAGATTCGAGAATATGAGACTTATGTATACAGCGAGTACAAGAACGGGCTGAGCATGCAGCCCTGACGGGAGCCTGTTTTGATCTTCAGGATGGAAGATGTCAGAGACCCAACTCTTATTGTTTGTGGACAGTCCATCAGGAAGTCTTTGGTCCAGTCACAAACAAGGGGAGGGAAATTCAGGTCAGTCAGCTTTTCAGTGAGAATGTTTGGTAAGATGGTATTAAAGCCCGAACTGTAGTCTGTAAAAAACATTTCGACATAGTTCCCAAATTTCTTGAGGTGTCTCAATGCAGTATGTAAAGCAGTGATGATGGCGTCTTCTGTTGACCTGTTGCTTCTATAAGCAAACTGGTGTTGATCAAAATTTAGTGGAAGACAGGACCTGAAGTGTTGTAGAAACAGTCTCTCAAAGCACTTCATCACTATAGACATCAGTGCAATGGGTCTATAGTCATTCAGCCTGTTTATGGCTGCTTTCTTCAGAACTGGAATGATTGTGGCTGCTTTCAAGCAAGATGGAACTCTAGCCAATTGCAGGGAGATGTTAAAAATCCTTGTCAGGACCCCTGTTAATTGGTCAGTGCAGGGTTTTAACACTTTCCCTAGCACTCTGTCTGGACCTACAGCTTTGTTGGGATTTACGGCCTTCAGCACAGTTCTGACTTGATGTTCATGCATGGTTAGTGGCTGGAGATTAGAGGGCCTTTGAGCTACAGCCACAGAGACAGGTATTTTAACCTCAAAGCAGGCAAAGAAGCTGTTTTCATCATATTTCCCTTATAATTGGTTACATGTTGCAACCCCTGCCACACCTGTCTTGGGTTATTATCTGCCAGATGCTTCTCCTTACATACATATTGTTTGTGACTCTATGTCATATCAGCCACATACTTAATATATGACAAAGTTATAATTAAAGTTAGAAAGGTGCCTGAAATTCAAATTAACCTGTATTTAGAATGTAATGGCACGAAGTCAGGGATCATCATAATAATTAATGCCTTAATTACATATTTTCATAGTTAGGTGAACTGAACTTTTCTATATTTTTTTATATTTGAAAAGTACATTCAAAATCAGAGACCAAAAAAAGAAAAGAATATTAGATGTTTCTGCTTTCATCATACTATGTACAAATTATCTGAAAGAAAAAAACTCAGATATAATTCATTATTACAATATGTATTCTTAGAAAATTATAAATTGGTAGCCTACACAAAGCAATTTATATTTCATAAAGAAAAATATAAACTGAAATCAATTTAAATACTATTATCCACAGGGAAATTATTTTTGAAATTGACTGGAAAAGAATGCATTTGTTTTATATTTATTTAGTGATTTATCTGTCCAGCCATTGATCATTTTTAAGGATTCTATTGCTGGATAAAGTACTTAGTGAGTAAAAATCCTATAATCTCAAAGGATTAATAGTTAACTTCTAATAGTGACCAAACATTCATAACTTTCTCAAGAAATGACATTTAAAATAATTAAATGGTTTAAAGCAAAGTGATCAACAATGGAATGGAATCTTAGCAATAGCGATTCTATTACGTTTTACAGATTCGATAATTAACTGTGGTTTTGTAAATCCTGCCAAATGGACATTCATGTTCAGTTTCTCATGGATCTATCAGAAACTGAACATGTATTTAATACGGATAGTCAAGATGAGATTCTAACTTCAATTGTTGCAAAGTTTTGTTTCCTAGTTCTTTGGAGGGCTGTAGTTTTGGACACCATAATGGGTGTAGTTCAGTGGTGGGTTGCTACCGGTTCTCCCCGGTTCTTGCGAACTGGTAGTGGAAATTTTGATTAGTTCGGAGAACCGGTAAATACCACCTCTGCCTGGCCCCGCCCCAACCCCAATCTATTTGCTGCCTCCCGAGTCCCAGCTGATCGGCTAGAAGGAAAAAATCAGGGCTCACTTGACAAACAAGAGGAAAAAAAAAAACAAGACACCTTAGCTTTAAATTGAGAAGCCAAGAAGCCTCCCAACTGATCAGCTAGAACCGATCCGCTCCTTGTAAACCGCTCAGTGGTGATAGATTGGCAATTGAGGACAAGCTGCCTGAAAGTGGTTTCCGATGCTCTTTGTGGTGGTAGAGCGGCAAAAAACTATTTAAACTCCTGCAGCAGCGCTTCAAAGGGCCGCCCTACGGCTGATCAGCAGTAAAAGGCAGTATGATGGTAGACCAGTGCACTCCAAAAATAAATGGGTAGATCAGTGTGCTCCAAAAACAAATGGGTAGACCGGTATGCTCCAAAAACAGATGGGTACGGTTCTGCAAGCAGTTAAAAGCCTGGTAGACCAGTACCTCTGCTAAATCCTAAAGAATTGTCACATGACCATCAAACTATGCCCACAAAATAAGCCACACCCACAGAACCGGTAGTAAAAAAATTTAGAACACACCCCTGGTGTAGTTTATTAAATTATGTGCTCAAACCATCTTAAATGTATTTCTGTGTATACATTATATTGTATGTATACTGTATATACAGTCTGCTATTGATCCAGATGAGCAGTCTGAATATAAACTGCATAAATTCATTTCAATTTTATTTCTAATCAAAAGGCCCCAAAGCATAAATGAACAAGTTAACAAACAAATGATGTATTACCCATTTTGCAATTTGCTATATATGAATGAAATCAAAGGAAACATATAAAGAATTTCACATTTTTATTATATTTTAAAGACCAGAGAATCATGATTACACTTCTCTTTAGTTCAGACTCTTGACATATTAGAATTATATTATTTAGAAGCATCTAGGATACTGTTCGATCTAATTCTTTTGTACTTGCACTTATATGCATAAAACTGAGGGTAAGGACAAGTTATTTGGTAAAGTTTTGCCAATCATCTGTTAGCTCAACACCATGTTCCTCAGGGTTTATTATATTTAGTAGAAAAAGACAGTTAAACTGTCTCCAGAGGGTAAAAAAAATATGTTGTTAGAAGCAGGAATGAAAAAATAGAAATTATTAGTTATGTTTGTGATCAACACCACTACCTGAGTAAGATGCTTGAGTTGGTTGATCAAGTTAGAGACATTTGGATCTTTTAGCAATGAAGCTACCCTGAGCTGAGATTAGGGATGGGAAGGGCCTTCACCAAGGATATAATTGACTTCTGTATCCTTCTGAAAAGAATACATTAAACATAGTTAGAACAACTTTGTAATGGTTTACCTCATACCTGCAAAACCATTTTCAAAAGATGGATCTGGAAGATTTAAGCTCAACCTCTGATATTCTGCAACTTTCAATTTTCTTCCTGTTTAAAGTAAAAATTGTCATTTTACCACTTTATCACATCTAAATGAAAATGCTCAATCTCCAACAACTGATGATCATTCTTGACAAACTGCCGCATTAAGAGTACCTGTGCCATGATTATCGTAAATGTCTGGACATTAATAAATTCTATTAAAAAAAGAACAGCATAATGCTTTTATCCAAAGGAAAGTGATCCTGAATTTAAGATATTTCCCCAACAAAAAGCAGACTAAATAGCTAAATAGACTAAATAGCTCTAAATATATCTGTTAGGAAATGATAATTACCTAACTTGTTGGGTTGGCAATATATAAACCCTCAATATAGCTTTAAGACTGTATTGCTGTATTGCATCATACTGTGTCCTGATTGGTTTGCTCTGTAGCCAATGTCCTTAAGAGGGAACTTGAAAGACAGTTTGTTTCTTTTTGCTGATCGTTACTGCTCTTTACTGCCCTTTGCTGTGTTTGCTACTGTTTGCAACTGTTTATTGTGTATGACTACAACGACTGGTAAGAAGACTTTGTTATGGGATTATCCCTGGACTATTGTTTTACTATCTACTGCTTTATCTGTGTATGACCTGGACTGTTTATTGGATTGTGCCTTATTATTATTTCCTGAAAGTAAACACAACTCAGCGTATCTGTGTGTTGGCTGTGTTTATTCGCAACTGCTCTCAATTGCTTTCATGTGCACACCCTTGCTACTCAAAGGGTTATTCTGCGAATTCTTTAACAATATCTCACAAACTGCCCAGTTTCCCTACTTGTTATCACTTATTATTTATTTATTTAATTAATTATTTAATTAATTAATTTTTATACTGCCCTTCTCCCGAAGGACTCAGGGTGGTGAACAGTTAAAATAACATACATATAAAATGTGAATATAAAATGATTAAGCCAATTTGGTTCATCGGTTAAGAATCTTCAGCATAAAGATTTAGAACAATTAGAAGAGATTTATGCCAGCCCGGCTTTGTGAAATAGAAAGGTCTTAAGTGCACGACGGAAAGTACGAAGATCTGGGATCATTTGTATCCCTGGGGGTAAATATTAGAATCTATTGCAGGTTTTTTTTTTCTGAGGGGTTCTTGGTGCTCTCTGAGCTTGCTTGTTTTCTTGCAGATGTTTTATTACCCAAATCAGGTAACATCATCAGTGCTAGTATAGAATTCTGTTTGCTGTCAGTTTATATTCTAGTGGCTGGCCTGTCAGTATTGGTCTTAGAGAGTCTTTGATTGAGCTATTTGCTGTTGGCTTCTTTGGAAATTTCTACATTGGGGTATTGTTTGCTTGATTGTTGGTCTGATGTTAACCTTGGAGTTAATCTATGCTGATCTAGATGCTGATTGTTTTTTTTTTTTCTGCCTTGTGTAAAATTTTACACAGAGAGAACAGACACATGCACACACATCCCAGCCAACAAAAGACAAAAGTTCCACTCCAGGGAAAGAGAACAAATACTCAATATTAATAATTCAGTTAGTAACTATTGACAATATGAATTCTCTATACTATAAGGAATTCAATTTATAATATTATTGATTCTCCCTTGGTATTTAAACATAAAATCATTTTGTCTCACGAACTTTTCTTTTGTACTTATATATTCAAATAAATGCACACTGATATAGGAGCATTCTGAAATAAATTCTGCAGGAGTCAATTGTCTTACTCCTAGGGATGTATGCTCAACCAATTGTTGTACTGAGGATGAATCAATTTAGAAGACATAGTGGTAATAATGTAAATATGAGGAAACAATACAAGTTCCTCCAATGGCTCTTATTTCCTAGTGAAAATGCTTAGAATTTCTAATCCTTTTCAGTCAGCATGTTTGTCTGACTTCCTTCTCAATATATTGTTTTCATATGTACAGAGTGCTTGTTATGGGGAACTTCTCAATACATGGAAGTGTTAATGATTAAGAAGCCTGATTTTCTATAATCCTCATTAGCATGAGGAGATTCCATGGAAGGAGAATCTTTCAGTTGGAAATATTCATACTCAGCCTATGCAAATAAGAGTAATATGTTATAGATTCTAATTCTGTTGGAAGCACAGGAGAAGTTTCTCTTCCTCTCAGGACTATTAGTATTTGTTTTTTACCTGTTCATATTTTTTTTTTTTTTGCCAATGCTAGCTTTAACTTAATCTCAGTTGATGCAAGAGCATTTCACCTAATTCATGGATATTTATTTGAGGAAAAAAACCCTTTCTTTTCTATTTAATTATTTGGAATGATAAATATTTATTGCTAAATGAATCCCCTGGTTATTTTCATTTCATATTCATTTCATCTCTGAAGTGTTTCAAATTGTTACTTTCATTTTGAAAATGTTACTTTCATAAACTGTAGGTAGAACAAAAAAATTGCTGGATATGTCTATGTTCATTTGGTTAGTCTGGAAATGATTTTCCTTCTTAATCTTTATATCAAATTTGTTTGGCTGTTAATTTCAATAATTAATAAGAATAAAATGTATATTAATATTAATGTAAATAATGTTAATATATATTAATAAGGATCAACATATATTCTATATAAATATATATAGAAATGTATATTTTTCCTCATTCGTAATTAAGAATAAACTTTGAAATTAATTTGCATATATGTTTATTGAATTTTGATACAATATCCCATTTGGAATTTGCTTCTTAGCTATGTCTCATGTTCTGAGCATGAAAATTGCATTCTCAATATCTGTCTTCTTTTGGAGTGAAAGGAGTGGTTATTATAATTAGAATCAATATGATTCAATATTCAAATCAATATGAATTAGAACTTTTGCTTCTTGATTTCCTCAAAATAATTTTCTCTTGATTTGTTTAAAAATCCAACAGAGTTGGAAAGGTCATCTAGTCCAACCCCCCCGCTCAAGCAGGAGACCCTACACCATTTCTGACAAATGCAGTCCAATCTTTTCTTGAAAGTCTCAAGTGATGAAGCTCCCACAACTTCCGAATGCAAGCTATTCCATTGGTTGATTGTTCTCATGGTCAGAAAGTTCCTCCTCATTTCTAGGTTGAATTTCTCCTTGGTCAGTTTCCATCCATTATTCCTTAACTGGCCTTCAGGTGCTTTAGAAAACAACTTGACCCCCTCGTCTCTGTGGCAGCCCCTCAAGTATTGGAAGACTGTTATTATGTCTCCCCTGGTCCTTCTCTTCACTTGATTAGCCATGCCCAGTTTATGTAACCATTCTTCATATGTTTTAGTCTCCAGTCCCCTAATCATCCTGGTTGCTCTCCTCTGCACTTTTTCTAGAGTCTCAACATCTTTTTTATAGTGTGGTAAAACTGGATGCAGTACTCTAGGTGTGGTCCAGAGGTGGGTTTTAGCAGGTTCTGACCAGTTCTAGAGAACCAATAGTGAAAATTTGGAGTAATTTGGAGAACTGATAGTAAAAATTCTGACTGGCCCCGCCCCCATCTATTCTCTGCCTCCCAAGTCCCAGCTGATTGGGAGGAAATGGGATTTTGCAATAACCTTCCCCTGGATTGGGGAGGGAATTGAGATTTTACAGTATCCTTCCCCTGAAGTGGGGTGGGAATGAAGATTTTACAGTATCCTTCCCCTGCCACGCCCACCAAGCCACGCCCATCATGCCATGCCACACCCATCAAGCCACACCTAGAGAACCGGTAGTAAAAATTTTTGAAACCCACCACTGATGTGGTCTTTAGGGCTTTATAGAGTGGCATTAGTACCTCACTTGATCTTGATTGTATCCCTCTGTTAATGCAATTTAGGATTCAGTTGGCTTTTTTAGCTGCCACTGCACACTGCTGGTGGAGGTTTCCCTCCTCCTCCTCCTCCACCTCTTTCTACTCTCATGACCCCATGACCAACTGTGGTGGGGCTGGGAGCATGCACATGAGCGGGGAGACTCTTCTCAAGTGAGCACCTAGCTGCCCTGCATGTGCCTTTGCTGCACTTTGGCCAAGCCCGGATGCTCACTTGAGGAATGTCTCCCTGCTTGTGTGCATGCTTCCGGCCCCGCCACAGCTGGCCAGGGGGTTGTGAGAGGAGGAGGGGGAGGAGGAGGAACAGGGAAGCCTCTACCGTGGCTTGTGCTTGTTTCTCAGCCAGCCCGGATTTCCAAAAAGAAGAAAGAAAAGGAGTAGTGAAGAGCCCCAAGGAGAGCTCACCAGCTTTCCGAGAGAGAAAGAGAGAGAGAGAAGAGGCACAGAGATAGGGAGCAAGCGTGTCAGAGGAAAAACCTCTTAGTATTTTGCTGCAACTAATTGATTGTTTAGTTTGCATGGTTTGAATGAACCAATAGAGCACAGCTTCCTGGCTCTGAGTTTCCTGTGCTTTCCAGCGGCTACTTGGTCAGTATATAAGTAGCAGCAGAATTACAGCCACTTCAGATCCTCAGAGAGAGACTCTCACGCAGACTCTCAGAGAGACGCTGAGAGACAGAGAGAGAGAGAACAGCTGTGAGCTGAGACAGTTGAGTACAGCCGAGAGCCTCCAGAGCTGAAGTCACTGCAAAGAGCTGAGTCACTGCCTTGCTCCTGAGAAGACTTGCAGGAGAGGACTGACAAACAATACAGAGAACCTCCCACGTTTTGGGATGAAGACTAGAGCAAATGGACTTTGCTAAGAGGAGAATCTTTTAGGCTGTTGATGCCTTTTTGTAGGTTTGCTTTTATGTGTTTTGTATTATTAAACTAGTTATCTTTTTAAGACTCTTCTCTCAACTTGCATGCTTTTAGTGCGTTTGTGGTGCCACGGTCCATTCAAACCCCAAACCCCTTCTTCACAAAGCGCAAGATACAGACACACACATACACACAGACACAGAGAGACACACACAGAGAGAGGGAGACCAGCTGACGAGTTACTGTCTTTTGGTGTAGGGCCCTCTGGCTTTCTCCAAGCCTGGTCCTCGGGGTGGGCATGCAAGGTTCGGTGGGGCCAGCCCTTTTTCCCGCTGCCCTGAGCTTCTTAAAGCTGCAGCTGGGCGTTGTGAGCCCATCCCCC